ACCTGGTTATTGACATACCTTTTGAACTGGACACCTGTGAGTTTGAATTCTAGAACTGCCATTGTAACCAAAGCAATAGAATCAAGGAAATGAGGTTAAGGTTACAAGCTTCTATGAATTCTGGAGGTGTACAACCAACATGAAAGAAAACTATAGGAGTTAATGCCTTTAAATAGTCTTCAAATCCTGAGATTAAGGTTTTGGACTGTTGGCAGCGACACCTTCCGACCCACACAATGACATGTCGCGTCTACGATGCTCCCCTCTCGTCGCGTCGCGACCATCATATCTAAGAATCAAAAAGTCGCTTCCCACCTAAATCCAACTTTCTTATTTTCTTCAAACTAATAAATGAGCAATTAAAAACATAATTGGAAAGTAGGTGACACAATTTTTCTTGTGTTTCACATTACTCTCCTCAACTATTGTTAGAATATAACACAAATTAGGATGTTGGAAAACAAACTAGTATTACAATTATCTTCAAAATTTGTCTTTAAATTCACCTAATTTTAAGATGGATTTAGAATGTAATTGTCTTATTGGATTGTTTGCTTAATTATCTTTTTTTAGGATGCTCGGACAGGTGGCTACAGAAAAATAATGACAATGGTGAGTTTGATGTGAAACAAGTAGGATGACTCTTGGATGAAGATGGGAACATCATCGACATCTTCTTTAAGTAGGTGAATTGGATACCAATCAAAGTCAATTGGTTTGTTTGGAGATTGCTCAAATACATAATTTTCACTTTTACTAGTCTTTCTAAGAGAGGGGTAGCATCCTCTTTAAAATTGTGTTCATTCAACAATTTAATGGATGATATTTTTTATCACGTATTATTTTTTTGTATCTATTCTTCAAGGTTGCGGAGTTTGTTAATTAATTGGTGCTCCATGTTCCAAGGTTAATTAATTGGTCATCTACGTTGCAAAGTCAGCATAATTCATGTTTGAATCAAGTGGAGCTGTTAAAGGTGAATGCATGTGACAAAAAGGTATAAAATCTACAATTAGCTCTTGTTTATTACACCCTCCAGACAATTTGGGAGGCTCAGAATGATAATGTGTACTGGAATGAGAGTAGAGTTGTTGCTTCTTATGCATGGCATTAACATTACTACTCTTAAGTGGGTTAAGAATATCTCTAAGTTATGTTTAATTGATGGGTCGATTTGATGTATATCTCTTTTTTCAAACTTATTTTTATAATTTGGTTTGAGCTTCCCACTTAAATTTTTTTAAAGCTAATATGTTGTTAAAAAAATAACTTACTAATCTATACAATCATTGAATATACTTTTAATTGGGTTAAAAAATATATCCAAATGATTATTGAAAATACTTTTAATTGGGTTAAAAAATATATCCAAATGATTATTGAATATACTTTTAATTGGGTTAAAAATATATCCAAGTTTTATTTAAACTATGTGAGTGACCCCGCACAGATGTGAGATTTTTTGTCGGACGATCCTTTGTAAATATTCTTTCATGGACTATTTGCTTATACTTTTAACACTGTTATGAGGTAATTTGTTTAACAGAATAGGCAGTTGCATCTAATTCTTATAAAGAGTATACATCAAGTAATTAATACTGTAGCACCTGGTTCCTGGTATGTAAATCTTAATTGAATATTTTTCCTTTTTAAGCCTTGTACTTGGCGAGTCATAGGTCCGACTCGCCGAGTAGGGACGGGACCCGGGACACGTTTAAGTTGGCGACTCGGCGAGTCCATATCCTGGACTCGGCGAGTCACCGCTGATGAAACCCTAAGTTTCAGGGGTTTGCACCCTATTTAATCCCCCTTTCCGCCCCAAGCCGGCCCCCATTCACTCTAAGAGCCATATACCTCGTTCTAAGCCTTGTTTGTGTGGATTTGAAGCCATTTGGAGTGTCCTTTTGAAGATTGGAGTAAGAAGGGAAGGAGATCAAGAAGAAGAAGAGAAGGTCAAGCACTTGTGAGCAATTTCAGAGTGATATCTAAGGTATGGCTCGTTTTCCCCCTTGTCTCCATGCTTATGGCCCCATTAAAGTCCATCATGGCTCATTTCCAAGCTTGGATGTGCATAATATTTCGAAATAAGTTGGTTGGTCTCTAGATCCAAGCATAGTTGAGCTCTAGGAGCTCAGATCCACTACCTTTATGAGCCCATATTGCATATAAACCTTAGATCTACTCTTTTGGTGCATTTTGAACCCTATAAACCCCATAGATGGATATCTACACGTAAAGTTGGAAACTTTACGTGTTATTCATGCTCTAGGAGCCCAGATCTACGAATGACATGGATTGGATTCGAGCAAAATCGCATTTTTAGCTCTTGCAAGGAGCGGACTCAGCGAGTCGCTCATCTGACTCGGCGAGTCCAGTCGCGAGTCTCCGGGTTTGTCCCCTTTTTGTTACGTCGAGTCGGGTGGTGAGTCCAGGAGGGACTCGGTGAGTTGGAAGCCAGAACTCACCCATAGTGGAACTCGGTGAGTCAATACCCAGACTCGGCGAGTTCAAGGCAATCTCCTTAGATCAAGATCAGACTCGGCGAGTTGTTCATACAACTCGGCGAGTCACAGTATAACTTGTTCATCGGATGAAGATGAACTCAGCGAGTTGTTCATACAACTCGGCGAGTAGGATGAAGGACTTGAACATCAGTTTGGAAGGAGAACTCGTCGAGTCGACGCCTAACTCGACGAGTAGTAACATAATTCAGGACAGTCGTTTGGACATGGACTCAGCGAGTTGGCGAGCCAACTCGGAGAGTCGGGTCAACTGGAAGTTGACTCTGACTTTGACTTAGGGCATGATCAGGGGTAAAATGGTCATTTTACCCAAAGGTCAGTTAGCAGTTTTTGACTAAAGGTTTGGTGGGAATACAGCCGGAGGATTTTCGAAACAGCAGCAGTCAGACTATTCCCACGAAGATCAGCAGCTACTCCGAGGTGAGTTACCTTCCAGTAGCGGTGGGTCTAAGGCCACAATGTCGGCCCACCAGTAGGAGATGTATGATAGATTATTGTCTTTGTGATATCATCTAGGTTTGCTACTACCTGATATGTTATATGCTAGCATGATATGTTGTATGTGATAGTAGTAGAGTTCGGTTATTAGGACCGAAGGGTAGTTAGACACTCCAGATACGTCTGACAGTATGTGATGATATGTTTGCATGCTGGCTTGTTATGTTATATGCGATAGAGGTAGTAGGAGGGGACTAGTCCCCGAGTTCGGTTGTTAGGACCGAAGGGTAGTTAGCACCCCAGAATGGCTTGACACGGGTAGGTCAGCACCCCAGAATGGCTTGACACGGGTAGGACGGCACCCCAGAATGGCCGCACGGGTAGTCGGCACCCCAGAATGGCCGTACCGGGTAGTCAGGCACCCCAGAATAGCCTGGTAGTATGTATGTTATGTATTGTATGGTATGTGGTATGATGGGGGAACTCACTAAGCTTTGTGCTTACAGTTTACAGTTTTGGTTTCAGGTACCTCTTCATCGAAGGGGAAGGAGCTGGCTCGGTAGCGGCACATCATGCACACACCTTGGTTTCCGCATTCACTAGATTTTCTTTGGGATTTATACTCTGATGTTTCGATTGGTTGTATGACTTGACTTTTGAACATGGTTTATGTTGTGATGTAGTTTGGTCAAACAATGTTTTTATCTATTAACCTTTTCTAAAGTAATGTTTTAAAAACGAAATTTTTGGACGTGAAAATTGGATCGTTACAAATACACTAAGAAAATACAACCACAAATATATGGAACCCAAACTTTAGCAGGAAAACAACATATATTACATAACAACAAAGCACACAAAAGAAGCATAACAAATGAGAAAAACGACAGTGTCAAAAAAAGCACAACGAATCCCTATGACATCTTACAACCTTGCTGATCCAATATACGAATCTACACCCTTCGTGCATTCTAAAAACTGGAATTGAAAACTAAAAGTCATCTACCTCGTGAATAGTTGTCTGATTACTTCTCTTTGAGGTGAGTTTCGATCTTCAACAGAACCTGTCAGTAAGGTTACTTCATATTCGACAAATACTCTTCAATTACCAAAAATATTTGTGCCAAAATAACAGATGCTAAAAAGAACAAAAGGCCTTGTACACGTAATGGATCTTGAAGTACTATTTCTGCATCTCCCTAATCAAATTCACCCACATTAGGATTACTTGTCAACGGTTGCTTAAAGTTAACTCATTCATCTATTATTTCTTATTATACATTCGATCCATTCTGAAAAACATAAAGCTATGACCCGAAGTCAGCCCATTTGACCCAACCTCCTAATTCTCAAGCCAAATATGCTGCTATTAAAGAAGTCCAAGCAAGCCTCCAATCTAAGTTTCCTAGTTTTGTTAAGCCTATGCTTCCATTACATGTTACTGGTGGCTTTTGGCTTGTAAGTGATCAAAACACAATCATTTTAGCATTGTGTATCTTATTTGGGCTACACATTGACACAAGAACACAAAAATGAAATTTCCTTTTTTTTTTTTTTTTGCAACCCCATGGAGATATGAAACTTATTTTATAGGTTAATAAAATACCTAAAAGCCAAAATAGCAAAGAGAGAAAAACATACCAAAAAGCCATTAAATGTCGTGGTTCAGGAGAGTCACCAAGCCTTGCACGATCTTTTGTATCCCTCAATCAGTGTCATTGCCACGTGTCAAAAATCTACTTATTTATTAGATTAAGAGAAGAGATTACTAGACATCTTCTGCATCCCTCAATCAATGTCATTGCCACATATCAAAAATCTACTTATTTATTAGATTATGGATTACCAGCCCTTCAATCATGCTTCAATGAATGTTAATTTATACATACCCACTTTACAAGAGACTTCAAAAGTTAAAATTACACCCTTCACTATTTCAACAACATAAAACAGAATGTTAATTTATACATACCCGACTTTATAAGAGAGTTCAAAAGTTAAAATTACACCCTTCACTATTTCCACAACACAAAACATTGTATCTTCATTGTCATAAAATAAAAGATTGCTTACTTTACTTGATACGAAAATAAAAAAATAAAAAAAAAAAAAAAAGAAAAAAGAATTAAGACAATAAAACCCAAAACAAACCTGTTTTTACAAACCCTACATCACCCAAAATACAACTATTCAAACCAAAACACCACACCCATACAAACAAACCAACCCACCCATCATTTTCTTTTAATTAAATCATAACTTATTGTATGGTTTCAATGCTCTTGCTCAGTTCATCCAACTTCTTCATCCTTGTCTTCTCACTTTCGCTCACCAGCTGCTTAACCAACATAAAACAAAACTCTGTCAATTCTCTTTATTCATTAGATAATAATTTTTCATATTTCTTAATTAATTATAAAATATATGTAAAACCAACCTCCATTAATCGCGTTATTAGTTGTACTTTTTCCTTGTTCTTTTCATTGAAAGCATCCAACGCTTCCTTGTACTCTCGCTCCTGCGACACACATAATTATCTTTAAATATATTTTTTTTAAATCATTAACACATCTTTTTCTTCCATTTTACCAAATAATTTTTAAACAGGAATTAATCGAAATAAAAGTAACACATCTCTAACCATCACCACTTCTTTTCCCATTACATGGTCATTCAATTAAATATATGAGTAAATTACACAAATGGTCCCTATGGTTTAAGGTAATTTACGTGTTTGGTCCCTAACTTATTTTTTTTAACTTGGAAGCTCCCTACTATTTGTTTTTGTTACGTGCTTGTTCCCTATCTTACTTAAAAAGTCTATTTTGCCCTTGATTTTTAATTTATTTAAATAAACACACCCCCAACCTCACCCCTCACCTTACCTACCCCATCATTTTTTTCTATTTAAATTGAGTAAATTACTTAAATCGTCCCTATGGTTTGGTCAAAATTACATGTTTGGTTCCTAACTTTTTTTTTTGCACTCGGATCGTCCATGTGGTTTGATTTTGTTGCGTTTTTCGTCCCTTACATACATAAAGTTAGGGACCAAAAATGCAATTTTTACCAAACCATAGAGGCAAAAAACGCAACAAAATCAAACCACAGGGACAATCTGATTGCAAAAAAAAAAAAAGTTAGGGATCAAACGTGCAATTTTAACCAAACCATAGGGACGATTTAAGTAATTTACTCATTTAAATTATAGTCTTTTTAGGTAAGACAGGAACCGAACACGTAACAAAAACAATATGTAGACAAATAGTAGAGACCTTCCAAGTTAAAAAAATAAGTTAAGAACCAAACAAGCAAATTACCCTAAACCATAGGGACCATTCGTGTAATTTACTCTAAATATAATGAAAAACGACTTTATAGATAAAGTCGCAAAAAGGAGATTTGAACGTTTTTAGAAATTTACCCTCGTATACTTTTTATAAATTTTCACAAATTTCCGTAATGGGAAAAGAAGTCGTGATGATATATATATATATATATATATATATATATATATATATATATATATATATATATATATATATATGATACCTTCTTTTGGCAGGTTTGTCCAAGTGGCTTCAACTCTTTGTTGACTGAGTCAATCTTCTTACGAACAACTGAAACCTCTTTCTTCATTGGATCTGTTAGTGATTCGAGTTCCTGATGATGATAGATTCCCATAAGAATTTAGTTTTACAAAACCAATGTTATGGATTTTATAAATTGTAACAAATAACCAATTATATAACATTAACACCAACAACTACACACCAATTCCCACATTACCTAACACACTAGCATATGTACACCACTTTTTCATGTCGAAGCTAAACTATAATCATCAAAATTGACCTAAATTTGGTCCTTTGTACGCAAAAAATAATGGATTCGTTGGGTTTTGTAATGAAATAATTTGATGTAAATTTGAATTGCGGGGATATATTAATTTTGATAGGAAAATGTAATATTTAATAATTGAACGTAACGTGTGTAAAAAATAACTTTACTCTATATAGTATATTAGTATTTAATTGTACTTATTGATTTTATAGATGTAAAAAATTAGAAAAAACTGAACGTAGTTAAAGCTCATTAAGACGTAAGTAAGATTAAAAAGTTGTACGCTAATTAAATCAAAAAATTTACCATAAAGATTTTTGTCATTAAAACTTTCGCAAATAAAAATGATTACATTCCAATTTTTCTTAATGGAATGAAAAAAAAAAAAACAAAAAAAAAATCATCGGTAATCACTTTTGTAGAGATAAGGCTGAATATCTTTCATTGAACTTATCTTTTTTGTAAAACTTGCAAAAGACTCCATTATATTTAATGTCTAAAGTTTCAACTACTCTTTCCATTGTAAAAGAAGACACCAATGTTGACTCTTTTCGTGTCAATTGTCAAAAAGATTTCATTTTATATTCTAAAATTTAAATTAGAAGTATTGAAATAAAAACGGAAAACGGAAAACATCAATATCAAGAATCAAAATTGGACCCTTGTGAGGGTCGGATTTGAGGGCAAAAGGGGAATAAAGTTTGAGATATGGGATTTTGGGATTGAATTTTTTATATTATATGGAGCAATAATTTCCAAACATCGCTTTATTGTTTTGTTTATTACAATTTGTTATTGTTATTTGCAATCTAAAAAATCCAGCTATAAGTGAAATTGAGATAGATATTTTTTATGAAATAGAAAAAAGGAAATGCGAATGAAACAGATCTAACCCTTAAAGGTGAATAAGAAACGCTAAATTCATTAGCATCTGGATTTTTCAATGGGTAATTTAAGCAACAAATATGTTCATGATATATAGAAAAAAAAAATCTATAAACGATCCATTTACGAAAGAATACATAAGAAACCCTAAGTTTTAGCAAAAATTAAGATCCAAAACTAGCGAATCGAGAAAATCATTGACAAACTACCAATCGAAATCAAAATCCGAGGAAAACCCATATGAAAGATTCCTAAGAGAGTCAAAGCATGAAAACAAATGTCTTGCGAAATCGAGAAATTATTTACGACACACAAAACAAAATCAAAAGCCGAGAAAAGAACAGCTGAAAGATTCTTCAATCAAGGAAATCAAACAAAGAAAACAAACTTCTCGAAGCATACGAAACCCTAATTGATCAATTTAGATTTAACAAAAATAGAGGTCCAAAACTTGCGAAATCGAGCAAATCTTTACAACCCACAAACCAAAAGAAAGAAAAAAACGAAAAAACCATATGAAGAATGATCGAATCAAGAAAGTAAAAAGAGAAAGCAACCATCTTTAACACATAAGAAACCCTAATTGATCAATTTAGTTTCGAGCAAAAATAGAAGAGGAAAGCTAGCAAATCGAGCAAATAATTAACAACCCACGAACCAAAATCAAAAACCCAGAAAAACCCATATGAAGGATTCTTCAATCAAGAAAAAAAAAATAAGACAAACCTCTTGAATAGAAGCCAAACGTTTGGTTTCTTCTTCAATACGACCCAACTGAGCTTGAACTCTTTCTTTAACCTCCAGTTTTTTCTTCTCTATTTCTTCCTCTTTCGCCTTGAATGTTGAGAGAGCAGATTTAGACATCTCTTCATCTTCTTTCGACATTAACCCACTGAAACTCAAACTCCCTGAAATTTGACCAGCTTGCATCAGTGTTTGAAGCTGCTCACTAGATTGCTTCTGTGGTTGTGTTGGAGTAGACATTTCTTTTTCTGGCTCTTTCTCGCTCTTCTTCTTCAACCAGAAAAAGCAAAAAACCCTCCTTCTTCCTCTGATTCCTCTCTTAATTTCTCTAATTTTTTCTTGTTTTGCTTTTCCCACCTTTAATTTTTCGATTTCTTGTTGTTTCTCCTCTTTTTCCTCCGATGGTTTGAGAAAAGCAAAGCCTTGATGCTTAAAGTTATGAGCTTAGTTGCCCCACAAACGAAAGAGAAAGATAAAGAAAGCACAAATTTTGCTAGCCTGTAAGCATATTGTGTGTGCAAATTATGTAATATTGTATAGGTTTTACAAGGCAAAATTACCAACTTGCCCATGGATCTCCAACGGAAAGATTTTGGTATGAGATTACGAATATTCATGAAATTTTATTTTCTTTAAAGACGTTTGGAAAATGTGGGTCCCATTTGAAATTCCAAGGTTTCAATGTTATTAGGACAATCGTGTGATTTATGCCGTTGAAGGTTGGGATCTTAAGAACTCAATCATTTTGTTTTGGTGCTTGGAATTTAGAGAAAATGAGAATAAACACAAATGTAATTCCTATTCATTTTTAATAGGAATATGATTTATTAAGCTAATTAATTTTTGGGTATTTTCACATGAGTAACTATGACATGTTATAGTAGATTAAATTCTATATGTGAAGGCTTTCAACAAGTTCGTTACCTAAATGTGTACAAAAAAAATAGTTACCTAAATATAAACAAAACGAAAAGTAAAAATTAAATTACACGAATGGTTCTTGTGGTTTGGGAGAATTTGTATTTTTTGGTCTCTAACTTATTTTTTTTAACTTGGATAGTCCCTATTGTTTATTTTTGTTGCACGTTTGGTTCCTGTCTTTACTAAAAATACTATTGTGCTCTTATTAATTTATTTTTTAATTAATTTTCTTATTTATGTATTTATTTTTTATATATTTAAAAATTTTAATAGATCTCACATATTTATATCTCCTCGGATGATCCTTACTGTTTATTTTTTAATTAATTTATTTTATTAACTCGGATGGTCTCTACTGTTTAATTTTGTTACGAGTTTGGTCTCTGTCTTACCTAAAAAGACTATTGTGCCGTTATTAATTATTTTTTTTAATTAAATTTCTTGTTTATGTACTTATACTTTATATATTTAAGTAAATTTAGTAGACCCCACATATTTGTATCTCCTCACCATCTCATCTCTCTTTCTTCTCAACTTCTATTTATTTTCCATCTTTAGTGATATTGACGTCTTCATCATCCTTTCTTTTTTCGGTCATTTAACTCCGTCAAATCAACACCACAACTAACTAAAGATGAAGAGACAGTAGGTTATGGTGTTGCTTCGCTAGAATTGAAGTACCAAAAAAAGAAAGACGGTGAAGGCGTTGATGTTACTAAAGATGGAAAAGATATAGAAGTTGGAGACGATGAGAGATGGGATGGTGACCGGTAAGACCCAATTTAAAGTTCTCAAATCTGGTTTTAAGTTTACGGTGAGGAGATACACATATGTGGGGTATATTAATTTTTTTAAATATATAAAAAATAAATACATAAATAAGAAAATTAATTAAAAAAACAATTAATAAGGGCAAAATAGTCTTTTTAAGGAAGACAAGAACCAAACACGTAACAAAAATAAACACTAGGGACCATCTGAGTTAAAAAAATAAATTAATTAAAAAATAAACATTAGGGATCATCCGAGGAGAGATACAAATATGTGGGGTCTATTAATTTTTTAAAATACATAAATAAGAAAATTAATTAAAAATTAAATTAATAAGGGCATAATAGTTTTTTTAAGAAAGATAGGGACCAAACAAGCAACAAAAATAAACAATAGGGACCATCTAACTTAAAAAAATAAGTTAGGGACCAAACACACAAATTTCTCCCAAATCACAGGGACCATTCGTGTAATTTAATTTTTACTTTTCGTTTTATTCATATTTTGGTAACTGTTTTTTTTTTTTTTTTTTGTACAAATCTAGGTAACGAACTTGTTGAAAGCGTTCACATCTAGGATTTAATCTGCTATAGCAGGTCATAATGATCATATGTGAACACTTCCAACAAGTTTTTTATCTAGATGTGTACAAAAAAAAGATAGTTACCCAGATATAAACATACCAAAAACTTAATTACCTTAACAAGTCATATTCCCATTTTTTACTTGTTTACCTAATTTTTATCACTATGTTTAAAATTTATTACAGATCATTCAGTTAGATAATCTTACACGAAATATTTAATATTTAAAAGATTTAATAAGAACACATCGTGTCGCGTCGGCATTTTGTTTTTGTTATTAGCATCTCGAAATTTGGATATTTGTAAAAATAATATTTTGAAAGAATAAATGTCAATAGTGTTTTATTTATCAAATAGGATGAATCATTAGATGTTATTTTTATAAATATACCAATTGGGGATTTAGGTCTAGTACTAGCACAACATATTAACACAAATAGATACATAAATACATGATAATTTACTCCACAATCGAAATTCCCTCCGTTTAAAAAAAATATGGACGTGTTTAACAAAATTAGTTACTAGTTGAAAGTTGATAGTTAAAAGCTAGTAATTAGTAGTTGATAGTTGAAAGCTGAAAGTAATAATTTTTATTTATGCATAAGTGTTCCAGAAAAAAAAAAGTTGTTACCTTTTAATTAATATAAAACTAAAAGCTAAAAGCTTAAAAAAGCTTTCAAAAAATAATTGAAATAGCTTTTGACTTATGAACTTTTTATTTAAAATAAAAATTAGTAGATCATGTTGTCAAATAGAACTTCTTTTTTTTTTTTGAGTTTTTTCTTGAAAGCTAAAAAGTAAAAGCTTACAAAAGTTCTAAAAAACTTTGTGTCAAAAACGCCTAAGAATCGAAATTTGTAATATCGAAAACTCAAAAACTATATTATAGTCTTTCGTAAAACTACAAAAATGAAATAACTTAAATTTGATTCCACATTCTACATATTTGATTCCACATACATAATCAACTATATGGATTAAAACTTTTGAGTGGAGAAGTGTTCTACAAACTTCAATACTTTAAGAAAATAAAATCAAATTTGTGGGTGAAATTAAGGACCCTTATAGCCTTGGCTAAAGATACAAGTTTCCATTAACTTCTTTGCACTTGGTTATCAACACATGTAATCTCAGAAGACTTGTTGAAATTCATCAAAAATCACAAGGATATCATGGTTTTAGGGTAGAGATTGTCTTCTATTTATATATACAGTAAATAGAGATGAAACCATGAGAAAAACTGTCACACCCCGCTAAAGCGGAAACGCAAGGTATGACAGCGATAACGGTTTCATTGCAAAAGATAAAGATACATCACCATAGCAGTATTTAAAAGTTTACAACCCATAGCTTCAAAAGAACAAAATACAAGTTTTTCAAAATAACATTGTTCAAAATATAGCTTCATAATAGCTTCAACACGATGCAGCATGCTCTATGATGATGAATCTTTACATCCACTTACTAATTATTTCCTGAAAAAGCATGTAAAACGAGCGTCAACTATGAAAATAGTTGGTGAGTATCACAAGTTTATAAAATCGAGCGTACAATAAGGCTTTTCGTAAATACAAGTACATTGCTTCAATGATAAACAAGTTGATTGCTATTAATGAATACAAGTTTATTGCTATAACGAGAAACGCGTTTGTATGTGTATGAGCAAACAATGAGTCTCAACCAAACCTATGACTGAAGCCCTATCGAGATCTATGCTTATCGTTCCATAGATGAATATGGTATCATGCACTCCAGCGATTCGGGCGAGTGAGGAGTTGTCAAT